TACTGTAAAGAAAACTTCAATAGCGCTGCACTGATGACACAGAAATGTTAATTAAATGAATAATTATTGCTTTTATGCACGAAAAATGGTAGGAAACGAATATTTATCATCTAACAATTTTAAAAATAACAGCAGAGGGCAATGGAAAGTAATTCATGATAAGCATGTCAAGTAATTGAAGATCAATAATGGGCTAGTAAGCCAGTGAATGACCGTTCGAAAACTCCAGTTCTACTAGGCGGTGAAAACGCTCACTATGAAGCAGATCGTGAATCATTATCCAAAAATTACCGTAGGCAAGTCAGCATATGCACATTCGGTGATAAGTTGCATGCGAGTTCAGTAGTTAATGTTTGAGACATCGGTTTTTTACGAACTCCGCCAGACCAACAAATTCATAAATTGTGTTTTTGAAATCCGTGGTTTTTCAGAGCAGCCCTTTGAATGCCGATTATGAGCGAGATATGGAGGGAAACAGGGACATCGAAACTGCTTTTGATATTCTGAGTCAGTTCCCAGCTGAGGTAGTAGCTGTGGAATCTCAGATTATAATGCCATGGAAAAGATGACTCTTTTATACTCATCAAGGCACTCTCACTTTGTAAATAATCCGCGAGAATTCGAGCGTACAAGAGCATGTTGTTTTTCTATTAAGTAAATCTGAAAAAGTTGCAATGAGTCGACATGCAATTTACATTTACAACACAGGGAGAGATCTAGCATAACCAGCAGATCCTGCGTAAGCGTAGTAATTGCATGAAGTGAGCAGAAATAACTCAATCTTATTGATATGTTCATAAGCATAAATGCACAGTGAGTTAAGGAGGATTAGACTAGCTAAGTATTCATGTCTAAGGTTGATTTTAGGCCTACTTTGAAAGCAGATCCTTCCTTTATATTAACTTTTAAGGTAGAGCATACATTTAGTTACGGTTCTATTCGTACTTTTTTTATCCCTTGCATTGTGCCCGTACACACACTGATAGTCAAGGCTAAAAACCTTCTTCGTGCTGGCTTCCTAGCTTCGCAATATCTATTTAGCCACTCAATCGCTTTTTCGTTATTATCAGCATGATTGTGAGAGCATATTTTGCTTGATTGCAATGTGATTTCTCATTTTTATGTTATCTGCAAAAATATAGCGAGCGGATGGATAGGAAGTATAAAAGGAGCATGTTTAATGAAGCTGCATCAACTCTTACAAGCATTTCAATCTACATTTGTCATACCATTGTAGAAGTTAACTTAAAAAAATCCGCTCTTCTTTTCGTTGTAGTCTAAGAAAA